AGCAATTTCAATAAAAGTATGATTGCTGATAAGAGCACTCAACAAATCGAGAGAAGAAGAGATCAGCAATAATGACATCGGAAGAAAAATGGATAGAAGCAGCGCTGGATTTCATTAAAATATAGTGTAGTCTATTTTCTATACAGATTTTAATAAACATATAAAATATGTCTGGCATTGTAGCTACACTTGGATGTAATGTTTCAACAGCTTACTATGCTATGCTCTCTGGGTCACTTCCTGCCCATCTGAAATTTTTTCCAAGATCAATGATAACCAGTTATTAGAGGGCGCATTTTGGCTGGAGCGACCATAGGTCCAGCCTTTACCGACATCCATCCACCTATCCATCCATCCATACACACATGCACGCACACACACCCACCCATACCTGCGCGCGCGCACACACACACACACAAATATATATATATATATATATATATATATATATATATATATATATATATATATATATATATATATATATATATATATATATATATATATATTTTTTAATGAAAACAGAATAGACACAACATCTTTCACTGTACATAAACTTTTTTGTTGACTATCAGTCCCTCATGTGGGTTCAGGTTCCCAATATGGAGGTGGGGGGAAGGGGGTGGGGGAGGAAAGGGGGGTAACATGCTGCCTTCCTTGAAAGCATGTCATAAGAGTCAGCTAATTTAGAGTTTTCTTCAGTCAGAGTGCATCTGCCTAAGATGCAAGGAATCAACATTCTTTATACAAGTAAGCCAGGTGTGTCGAATGGATGTGCATGCAATATTCAAGTTCTGGAACAAGACTAAAGTCCAAATGTGGAAGAACAACCAAAAACCACCAGAGTTTACAGTTGCTGCAAGAAGACGAAGAAGAAGAAGAAGAAGAAGAAGAAGAAGAAGAAGAAGAAGAAGAAGCAGAAGAAGAAGAAGAAGAAGAAGAAGACCAAATAAGGAGTTAGAACAACTTGAAAATCTATTCATCATTATCATCATCATCCTACTGTCATTTATAAATTACATTGAGCCAATAACCAATTCTTTAATTCCATTTTTATCCGTTTGAATTGATATCCAATCCAGTATATCTGTTCTCTTTTATAAACAATGATTCTAGAGTTTCTCTTGGACATCCTCACTTTCACCAATTTATACTTTTTCCTTAGTTTAGACCAGTGCTTCTCAAACTTTTTTCGCCAATGCACCCTTGTCAGGCAAAAATGTTTTACGCATACCAGTCCCCTCCCCAAAAACCATCACCAGATACTAGATACCTGTCTAAGCCACTCGTTTTGGTGTAAATTACATTTCTTAGCAACATACTTGGCACAAAGTTACCAGACTACAGTTACAGCTAATACTGCTTGCAGTAGATTGAACGTGGTAATTTTTGTGTGTTTTATTTTAATAAATGGATGGATGAATTCTTTTGCTTTAACATAAATAATAAACAAATTGTTTTCATGGACACTTAAATTATGGAGCTAACAAAAGTGATGCTTCAATCATGCCTGCATTACGGAGTATTTTCTCTAGTGTGTTAGCTTTGGCATTATCCCCTTCCCTGGTCTTCCATTTGGTCAGCATATGGAGCACCTGCAGACAAATAACTCATACAAGTCAGTCAATCCAGACAGCGTGATAAACAAACATACACTATTGATTGGCACTTACAGATATAGAGAAAAGAAGTTAGAGATAGTAAGAAACCCTGGAGAATATAAAAATTCAAAAGCTATAGTTTCTCCGTATGGGTTCCAGGCTCCAGTCTGAAAAGGGGAGGGGGGACAAATCCTCTGCCTCCTAACAAGCATGTCATAAGTCGTGATGAACAAGAAATTTGCTGTAATCAGATGTGCAGAGCTGCTGAGAACAGATAGCATAGCCTAGCTGTAAACAGCAACAAAATGTGCCAACCACTCTTTTCAGGGAGAATGCAGACGAAGAAAAAGCTATAGTTCCCACCCAGCGTTCAAACATGTCACCTCCGAATATCCATGACATTTTACTGCACAAACAAGTGCACGTCAACCCATAATCAATTAATCAATCAGTTTGTCCCTTGCGGGCTGCTACCTAACGGTTAAACCATACCATTCACCAGATGTTAAATCCTGGCTGTTCGTCAAATTCTAGCCTTTGATCTTCTTCCAGGACATGAGTTTTGCATCATATCCATTTGGCTAAGACTGATGGTTTCTTGTCTCTTGGGCCGATGCATGCTGACTTCAGAGGAAGTGTTGAACCTCTCTACTCAGCCATGCTCTCGGTCAGGAACATGTTTCTCAGATGACAATGGAGAGGTGTAGACAGGTCTTAACCAGTTTGTGTCCAGGGTGCACCACCCTGTGTGGTTCTGTATCTTTGCATCCTACTTATCTCTTCAATGGTCAAGTCATTTGCCTCAAACTCTCAAGGTAGTGGATTATGTTTCATCTTTGTTCATTGGTTTGTGGATGCAGGCATTTCAGAGATCCTGGAGCTATGGAGTTTGACCTTTGTGTAATGTTCTTAGTGGAGGACCAGCCATTCATCACAGAGAGACTAAGCAATGGGGAATTTTAAAAACCCAGTGGCGCCCGGCTCTCTAGCATAGTTGGCTAAACCGGATTGCGTGGTGACCGGGTGATGAACTCCTTGTGGTCCAGGTTCACTCCCAGGGGTAGGCAGAAAAGCCACATTTCTCCTAGATTTAGGGTATTTACAATGGAATTAAGGCCAAAAGGTTGCGATATCCATAATACCGAGCCTAAGGGTTAACAACTCATTGCTTCTGGATACTAAAGCAAATAACAAACAAAAACCCAGTGGCACTAAGCTGCTCCTTTCACCTTTAAATTTTTCTGCTTCTTTCTCCCTTCTTCTTTACCGCTTCAGGTGTCAAGGAAGATATAAGGTTCTGCTTTTTGCTCTTCTGGCAGCCTCGACCATAGATACAAGTTAAAAATAAGGGACCCTTTTCAACGCCTTTAGGCTAGACCTATATTTTACAGATCAAACGGCACTTGGTGGGTGATGTGATCAACATCATGCTGGCCGCCTTTACTTTCCTGGACTTGTTGCTGGTACCTACTCAAGGCTGGGCTGACCTAGGAGCCAAAGTCGTTTTTGAAAAAGGTCTGGCTCTGTCATGACCCGAACCCACGACCTTCTGATCGTCTAGGCCACAGCAACTCCCACAGATATAAGTTTGTGTTGTAGAATTTTTCTGATGTTATCTTGTTATCTTTCCACCTTGTTCTTGGCCTACCTTTTGCTCTACATCCTTTTCCTCTTTTGATGTATGCCTTGTATGGTTAGACGGCATCACAAAACTTTCTCTCCAATTTGGCGAATCAATTTATTTGCTGTCTTTGTATGTAATTTAGACTTGGTTCAGTGCTATTGTTTTATGATATCATTCCTGATTTAATCTTTTCTGTTCACTCCTGCCGCCCTTCCCAGATAACTTATTTCCATAGTTATTAGTTTTCCTTTCTGGCTTGTTGTGAGTGACAATGTCTGGCACTGACAGCATAGGGTGGGAATGAATACACTCTAAATAAGATGTTTCTTTGTGCTGATTGGGGTTTTCTTATGCTGTGAATGGAAAGGGGGAGGCGCTAGCAGTCCCAATACTTTACTGCATCTATGGTTAATTTGATTTGGCCTTTAAATACCTTTATTACATTACCTGTAGTGCCTAAAGAAATAGTAAACAAACCTGCTGATGTGTGTTATCAGGGTTATTTCTGCGGATAATCTCAATGTCGTCAGCGAAAAATCCAAGACGGTTTGCAACAAGGTCCCAGTCTTTTCTGCATACAAAAATATAAAAACAGTTTTTTTTAAAAAGGTATCTGTGGTCAGTTTCTTAGCTTTCAGTAAAAGTACAACTACATGTGACACTGCCATGAAGATGAGAAATGTTAGAACTGTACATATGCTAGGTTAAGGCTCACTGAAGTGGGGTGATGAGCCTGGTTCTCTGACTTCCAGTTTCATAAAAATATTTTTGTAGTCAAGTTAAAACAGTATGTTGCTGGTGCATCTTCTTCTGCTTCTTCTTCTTCTTCGTGTCCTCCGGCTGATCTGCTTTCACTGCCTTCGATTATGAAAACCATGTTTTGCTTGAAATAGACAGGTTGAGCAAACTAATGCATTATGACATCACAAATGACACTAAAAAGCCATTTTCACCCCAAATGATAATTGTAATTTTTGAGTAAATATTATAAAACCTAGCCCATCAACCCATTGTGCAGTTGCTGCGGTACTAAAGCTGTAATGTAGTGATAAAAGCCACTGCTCAAAGTCGTCATGCCACATGCCATAAAATGTGCCCCCCCCCCCCCCCCCCCCTCAAAAAGATGCAAACCCAACATTTACAGAGTCAGCAGGTTAAAGTTAGTTAGTTACTCAACAGATTATCCTCACTGCACATTGAACCATACAGTCCATAAGTGCTCGGATCCCCGATTATTAGTAAATCTTGCAGCATGTAACAGCACATGAAACCAGTTCTGTGTTGGTTTCTTATTCCTCTCTGGCCTTCTGTTTAGTGCTCTTGTCTGGCCACATCCCTTTTAACATGTCATTCTTGCAGTGTTCGTTGGTTACAAATTCAGTCACCACTTGGTTCTCGCAAAAATGTTACTTCTCGTAGAACATTCAGAAAATCTGCCTGGTCCATGGCTCGTTCATCCTCCACAGTAGCTCTACCTGCAAGCCTATCAGCTTGCTAATTTCCTCACACATGTGCAAGCCCATGCACAAATATTAAACATATGTTTCAACCCTAATTGCTTTAGAGACTACAGCCACTGTCTTGAGACCCAGCCCATCTCTATCTTCATGAGCATACTCATTGAGTCACTGAGAAAGCATGCACGGGAAAAGGTCTGTAGCCGTATGTCAAATGTTATATAAAAAAATTTCTTTTTCTTCTTCTTCCTTGTTCACTGGCTGTAAGCTATGGTGGAAAGTCCTTGTTGTTCGTGCATTTGGACTTTGGATTTATGCCAGGGCCTGAGTTTTGTGTGTACATCCGTTTTATAGCTTACTTGTGTGCAGCTGGTTGTTCCTTGCTGTTCAAGCAGATTCACTCTGACTCTGAAGGAAGCTCCCAATTAGTCCACTCCTATGACTTGTTATGATCTCTTTGGGTCCAGCATGAATAACAGTGGTAGTAAGCATAACTGTGAAGATCAATTACTTAAACAAACCTGTGAATTTTTTCTGCAACCTCTTTCAAAACTAAATCAGATGGAATCTGGGCTGCAAAAGGCATTGGTGTATTGTAGAAACCTGCTTGACTGCTAAACTGGAAACATGTATTTTTTGTCAATTAGATTTCTTATATACATTAAAAAGTCACACAAAAAGTGTATTTTTATATCACATTTCAACAATTAAAAACCTGTTTAAACACTGATATATTAGTTTTACATAGACGAAAAGATGAATGAAGTTACCAGTGATTACTTCTATTCTTCATCCCTTGATGTCTCTATAAATTTAGTATTACAATTTGTATGCAGGTTTTAGTTGCTGGAATGGGCAAACATGAGATTTATTTAGCGGACTGTGTGTGTAAATATACACATATACACTCAGTTCTATTTGATGTCATATATAATCATAAAAACTTGCAAAAGAATTATAATACAAAATTTATAAAAATATAAATGGAAGAATGGGAGCTGCCATGGTCTGAAACTAGACGTTTGCCTGCGGATCGGAAAGTTGAGGGTTTGGGTCCTGATGGGGCCGGACTTTTTTTTTCAAAAATGACTTTGGTTCCCAGGTTGACCCTGCCTTGAGTGTGTACCAGGCACAGTCCTGGGATGTAAAGGCAGCTGGCGTGATGCTGACCACATCACCCAACAAGTGCCGTTTGGTCTAAGAATATAGGTCTAGCCCTGTATACCCAATACGCCCGAAGGCTTGGAAAAGGGTTCTTTACTTTTTACTTTTATCAATGGAAGAATACACTGTACAAGTCAAAGATAACATGTATTCATCTTTTTATGTTCATATAAATTGTAATTATATAATTGTCTACAAATAATTGTGTGTACACCTAACTAAAATCATTTCTTCTTCTTGTTCTTCTTTTTGTTCTTGTTCTTCTTCTTGTTCTTCTTGTTCTTGTTCTTCTTCTTCTTCTTCTTCTTCTTCTTCCTCTTCTTCTTCTTCTTCTTCTTCTAAGCGTTCAGCAGCTGCAAACTTAAAGATTAATAAACAGTTTTAGAAGTTTGGGCTCAATGAGATCTAAGAAAGCAACGGACTAAACAAAAAACAGTTTGTAATTCGTGATAACAGAAATTCATGTTAACCCAAAAAACTTTCCGAAGAAAATAACAAATTCCTGCCGGGACTAAATTTGTGTTCATGTTAACGGTGCATTGTTTTCACGAACGTTTGTGTTAATGAAGGTTTTCTGTATAAACTATTAGGCATGAAAAACCAGCTGTAGTTAATTATCCTTTAAACCTTAAAGTGCACACACAATAGAAACTAAAATTAAAATTAGGTTTTAAAAAGTAATCTGCCCTCTGTAAGATTTTTATGTCCCTGTGGTATCCCTGACAGATGCAAGAGGTGTACTTCAGGCACTTGAATCTGGAAAATTACCTGGTACATGGAAACTACTCTTCAAGCGAGGCAACCAGTTAAGGTAACTATGTAATGGATACCATCCCACTGTGGAGTTCCAGGAAATGAAATAGCTGATAGACTAGCTTCGGACGGTGCAAATAAATTAGTGTCCCTGCATACTACAGATGCTTCTAGATTCTAATTAACAGCCAGACTTAGTCTTCTTGTTCAAGGACCTAATCATTTAATAGATTTTGGTATCTCTAAACACTGCATGTCATACTTGTGGTGAAGCACTTGAAACTACACTGGAGCAGATTTTTCTTAAATGACCTGGGCTCCCTAATATGGATACCAGGAAATATTCTTGGAAGCAGAGGCACCATTATGATATTCATCAAATCATTTATAGTGTCAAAAAGTCAATAAAAATATGGCGTTGGTATCAGACTGGCTATCCCCATCCTGTGAAACAATCCAATAATTATCAAGTTCTTAAAGGGAGCAATGGTAGATTAAAGGGAATGTTAGTTGATTAACTGGAGTACTGACTGATTCTTCTTCTTCTTCTTGTTCACCGGCTGTGAATTCCGGCGGTAAGTCACGGTTGTTGTCCGATATGGACTTTTGGCTTTTACCTTGACCTGAGTTTTGCGTGTACATCCGTTTTACTGGCTTATTTGTTTGCAGTACTCGTTCCCCGCCTCTCCGGCAGATGTACTCCGACTTCGGAGGAAGACGTTAAGCCTATTTCTAGGTTGACTGTGGCCATTGTTTTGTGTGGGTCGAGATGTTGCCTTATTTGTGTGGTGTCCTCTTTGACTTTTAACAAGTGTGGCCCCCGGCATGTCGTCCTTAAGGCAGCTCTATGTAGAGTTTTCAGCCCTCAAGGGAAGGCAGGGGCAGATCATGGGCATTCCCCGCCATCCAAGGAGGCTTCCATAAATGCAGAGCCGACACATGATGCTCTGGTTCTGGGCTCACCCAAGGAATCGTCACGTCCTGCCCATGACTGCTTAACCTCACAACCGTGTATTGAGCTTCCCGCGCTACAAGGTTGCGCTCTCCGGAGATCAGCGGGGAACAGCCCCCAGGTCTAGGATGTTTGTGGCCAAACAAATAGGTACATTCTTTTTCATCTTACGTTAGACACCTTTAACGTTGTTTCAGCTGTGCCCTTAGCACGACAGAATGGGGAAGCAAAATGCGTCAGGCGTGGCTTCACCTGTTTGGTCCCAACACTCGGGCGAGTTGGACCAGTGGATATGGACATTCAGACTTTTCCTAATTGGTACGAGTTATGATCATCGGACTTTGAGCTTGCATGTGTGCCATGGGGTGTAACTTTGTCGGACATTGTTTTCAAGCCAGCATATGAATAGTTGCTGCCATGGTGTACCTCAGCGCGGTGACGACGACACTGAGGATTGACAGAGGATGTACGTAGGTGGGATCTTGCTGCGAGAAGTCGCCCACAAGAGATGTTACTCGTCTTGGCTGCGGGTAAATCTCTCGGTCAGGGTTGAGTCTCAGCAGCACAGTTTTCCATTCGCTCCCGAATTTTAACCAAGAGTTGTCATTTGATGGTACATATAGCAAGCAGTCCTTGAGTTTTGTTACTTTTCACCCATGCGTTTGGGGGCGGGCTGGTGAGAGCCAGAAAGGACTCTACACCTCTAGGGGCCGCCAGCTCCGAGATCCCCTGCCAACTCTGTTAATGCTCATTTGAGACATTATCCGTGGCGCACGACGGGGACGTGCAACAGGAGTCTTGCATGAGGTTCCGTAAAACCAGAACAGTGAAGGACTGGCGCCCGAGTGGGGTACGGAATATCTCCTTATACACATCACATCAGACTTAACTTCCCCTCATGCCTGTGACCGAAATCACCGCGCCACACTGACTGATTAAAGGCCTATAGTTCTTATAAATTTGAAAGAATAAAGAAGTAGCTTAATTCATTCAGTACCAATCGACGCACCATACATTCACTGCTTATTGCTTATAAGGCCTGCTTTTCTAAACACTTTCTTCCCCCTGCAGCTGTTTTAATAATATATGCTATCATAAACACTACTTTAATTCTCTTGTAAGTAACAAATATGTAAAAATTAATGAGTTAAACTGACAAATGTCTGGGGCTGAAAGATTAATAATAAAAGTCCAGAAAATGTTGAAAAAATAAAATAGATGTCATCTTTACAGGTCTAAATATAGTATGTTGCATTGAAAAGCCTTCGTCAGGAGAAAACTTGCAAGAATCAAAGCACATAAAAATTTAACTGATGAAATGACTACATCAAGATATTCAAATATTATGTAAACAAACAAAACAAAATAATAATAAATGACAGAATTAAATAAAGTATATGATATTCGGACTGCTCAGAAATGAATAAAAGCTTAATAAGAAAAAACTTGCTTACCTCTGGCAAACTGTCATGTACTTGTTGTCTCATCTGCTCAGGCAGGATGTGAAAGTTGAGAATGCTCTGTGTTTTTGCCTGAGGCAGGTCCAGGACTGCACGCACAAAACTGTTCTCATCCAAAACACCTCAACAATAAACAAACAAACAAAACGGTAAAGGACCTTTTTCCACAACTGCTGGCGCACTAGGCACTCCACTGTGGCAAACCAAACATAACTGAACACTAAAATTTAGGCACTTGATAATAGCAAAATAGTTTTAGACAATGAAAACCACAGCACTACTTTTTCCTGTACCGTGTATATTTAATCTCACTGTATAAATATAAACCCTATATCTTCTTCTCCTTAGCCTTCACCAGTTATAAACTCTGGCAGAAAGTCCTGGTTGTTCCTCCACCTATGAGCTTTGGTCTTGTTCCAGAACTTGAGTTTTGTATGCATATCTGTTTTACAAATACGACGTCTTAGTATGTAGGCTGTTGGTTCCTGATGCACTCTGACTTCGAAGGAAATAACCCTGATTAGTTGTTAAATAAATATGACATGCTCGTTAAAGGGACAGCATAGGTCTTCCCCCCCCCCCCCCCCACCCCCCAAAAATGTTGGCCCCAGACCCCACACATGGAGAATCTCATTTCTACTCGAGTCCTGTACGGACTTTCATTTTCAGGTTTTAAAAAGTAATCAGGTGAGAGCCTTGATATGTGCAATGTAGGTGCTGATATTTACAGCCTCTGTCATTCCAACTATCCATGAGAATCTTACTGTATAAGTATAAACTCTTCATATCTTACTTATTGCTGTTTCTGTTGTTTTTATATGTATCTTTAAACATGGGGGTGCTATGCTATCAAATTACCTTTGAGGATTCTGGAGGTTCTGTGACCGTTCCCTCACATATGAATCATAAAATCTACTCACTGAGTCACAATGAAACATCATCATCATCATCATAAATTTCTACTTCTGCCATTAAACTTTGTGGGGAGGAACAGTCTGCAATGCATTGCTTGATAGGCAGCACTGGCTATTGTCATGCTATGTCGATGTAGAAGCTCTTTAATGTCATCAATCCATATTCTCCGTAGGCAGCCTCTTGCTTTTCCTTCAGATCTTTTCATGTGTAGCGTCTGCATTAGTAGTTGTTCTGACTGCATTCTGATTAAATGATCAAACTATTTGATCTTCTGTTTCTCAGTGAATTTGCTGTATGAAGTATGAAGATGCTGTTGTTTATAATATGTTTTGTCACACTGATACTTATATTTGGATATCTTTATAATGGTGTCAGCTGGAACACAAGTGCACTGGCTTGTTGGCATATCACAATGAAACAATGAATTTATCTCTTTGCTTGCTGCTGAAGATGGGGACGGAGCCCATATGGGGTGTCCCTACTGCTGTGGTGTCGATTCATAATTCAACTTTCAATGAAACAATGAGTTTATTCTACTGTGGCAACAAAGAAAAAAAGACATGTTTTCCAAACATTTATCAAATTACCTTTGTTAGACTTGTCCACAGTTTTAAAGAAGATAGTAGTAATTCTCTGTATTTCTGCCTAAGGAAATACAAAATAATTAACAAAATTACTAAAATAGTCATATTCAACTAATTAACCTTCAATTTACCTAGGCAGTCACCATGGCATTGGTAAAAGTGCACAAATGATCTTTACATATCCCCCCAACACCTCGCTGAGGTAAATGGTGGAAAAGAAGAAGAAGAAGAAGAAGAAGAAGAAGAAGAAATCATCATGGTGTGGCGGCTAGATACTCACCTCGAGCCCAAAGGCCATGGTGTGGCGGCTAGATACTCACCTCGGGCCCAAAGGCCATGGGTTCAAATCGGCATACAGCCAGATTGTTTTGTCAAAAATGACCTTGGCTCCCAGCTTATCCAGTCTAAAATGGGTACCATGTAATGCCCTGGGAAGTAAAGGTGGCCAGCGTGATGCTGACCATATCACCCATCAAGTGCAGCCTGGTCTAAAAAATATAGGTCTAGCATTTGATGCCCAATACGCCTAATCTCTTTTCTTCACATCATTATGCCTGACATGCTTACCAGCTGACCTTGAAATTATGTAATCAAATCCCCACTGAGACTAGGATTGTGTTGCCAGGTCAGACACTCTTAAAAATGCATTCCAAGTACTATTCTGGAAAGTGAATGTAGCCATCATGGCACTGACCTAATTCCCCCATCAACTGAACAGTATAAAGAAAAATATAGGTTTAGTTTCATAAACCTCAAAGAGTGTATACAGGCACTTTAATTTCAAGTAAAAAGTGCTGGAAAGTCTTTCAACAAGAAAGAATTTCACAATATAATTACTCATTGGGTTCACAAGTGATGTGGTTACATGTGATGCTAGAGACACACACAACAAAACTACAGAGTGTGATTTAACTCAGTGCAATATACCGCCCCAGCCCCTTTCCTCTCTCTCCATGTCTCTGTGTGTCTGTCTCTGTCTGTATGTCTGTGTGTGTGTGTGTGTGTGTCTCTCTCTCTCTCTCTCTCTCTCTCTCCTGCAATTGCTGTGTAAAGAATGAGAGTTTAAAGGACCGAATGCAAGATGGGCCAATGTGTCAGATTTTTTACTCTTCAAAAATTAAAGTTTATTTATTCACTTATTTCCTCTTCCCCCCCCCCCCAATCTCTCTCTCTCTCTCTCTCTCTCTCTCTCTCTCTCTCTCTCTCTCTCTCTCTCTCTCTCTCTCTCTCTCTCTCTCTCTCTCTCTCTCTCTCTCTCTCTCTCTCTCTCTCTCTCTCTCTTGCACACACACATTTATATGAATACACACATATCAATCAACGTATTTCTTTAGACCCTCTTCTGCTGGCGTGTGTTGAGTGATCAGACAGTCTCATGTTCTTTTACCATAATCAAACAACTGTCTCATTAAGCTGCACTAGACAAAATAAGATACCTCTTGTAGCAGAAGCAAACAGGTGTGGTAGTATAACAGGTGAGGTAGCATAATAGGTGTGGTAGCATACCAGGTGTGGCAGCATAAAAGGTGTGGTAGCACAAGAGATGTGGTAATATAACAGGTGATCAGAATTTATATTCTGTAATAATTAACAGTAATTACCTCACTACCTTCAGGGTAAAGTCGCATCAGAATCTTCTGGAAAATGTCTTTGGGGATGGGACTTCCGTTATTCAACATCTGAAATATAGCTGAAATACAGAAATGTGAAGTCGCTGTATTTTAGCAACCTTATGACACACCGAAAGACTTCGAGCTCTAGTGTAACTCTTTCAGTACCAACCACTCCCCGTGTGGGTTCCAAGGTGTTTTTTTTTTTTGGGGGGGGGGGGGAGAATAGATCCACTGTTGCGGTTACCCCCACCCCCACTTAAATCATGTCATAAAAGGCAACTAATTAGGGGAGTTTCCCTCAAAGTCAGAATGCATCTGCCTAAAAGGCGGGGAGCCAACAGTCTGTAAACCAATAAGCCATATCTGTAAAATGGATGTGCAACGCAAAACTCAAGTTCTGAAACAAGATCAATGTCAAGAAATGAACAAACAGCCAGAATTTTCCACCTGTGTTTACAGCTGGTGAATGCTAAGAAGAAACAGTACTAACAACATCATTCGTTTGTTTATATACCCTTACAATGTTTACATGTCAAAGAATGTTGAATTAAGAATCAACATCATAGCACTCTGAACATTCCTATAAGCGCTCTGTTCCCATCTTCAGCAGCAAGCGCAGAGTTCTAATTCCGTTGGTACCAGTAACATCTGATTGTATATCCGTCATGCCTTTCCCCTGGGTGTTAAGCACTGGCCAGATTCCCTGGTCACTTCCTGCAGAGAGACTCAAAGATTGTTAGTTTAGTCCCCATCTTATGCAGCAAGCACATTAGTTCCAATTCCAATGATACCAGTAACATCTGACTGTGTATCTGTCATGCCCCTTTCCTGAATGTTGAGCATCGGCCAGATCTCTTGGTCACTTCCAGCAAAGAGATTCAAAGATTGTTAGCTTAAAGTGTGGTTTATGATGTGTTGCTGCAAACAACCATCTGGGACTGAAAGAGTTAAGCTAAATTTAACAGTTTAACAAACATAAAGTCGTCAAGCTAAATCCCCGATAGGATCTGCCATTTGGATGTGAAATGTTGAGCTGTTTTATAACATAATATAACATAACCCTTGATGCATTAGCGTCGTGGAGGTGTCTCAATGAAAGCAACTTTCACATCTGTATAAAAAAAATAGACAATACCAGTGATCTATATTTATTTGCCTTAACTGCGATTCTGATTTTGCTCTTTCACATCGTATTCAGCTGGTATGTCATATACTCTATTATTATACTCTGGTATTACACTCTGTTATATACTCCAGGCAATGACACAATAAGATGGAGTGGTCTTGATCCACTAATAGTGTATAATGTTTTTGTTGCAGAAGAACTCAATAAAAGGATAACTTACCTTTGACCTTTACTTGTGTTTCCTGGCTTTCACACCATTTTAATGCCCGCAAGAAGGATTCAAATGAAACATTGCCATCTGAGCTCTTGAAATTCTTGAGAATCTGAAAGCAAGAAATAATGCACTAACAAACTTACAATTGCAGTCAATCTGAAAGAACCTAATTTATATATGTGCAGAACAACAGAAACAGAACAAATATTTACAAGTAACGGTTTTTGTGTGTCTACTGATAACTAATCTTACAAGGAAAGGTTTATGTGTGTCTACTGATAACTAATCTTACAAGGAAAGATTTATGTGTGTCTACTGATAACTAATCTTACAAGGAAAGGTTTATGTGTGTCTACTGATAACTAATCTTACAAGGAAAGATTTATGTGTGTCAACTGATAACTAATCTAACAAGGAAAGATTTATGTGTGTCTACTGATAACTAATCTTACAAGGAAAGATTTATGTGTGTCAACTGATAACTAATCTAACAAGGAAAGATTTATGTGTGTCTACTGATAACTAATCTAACAAGGAAAGATTTATGTGTGTCTACTGATAACTAATCTAACAAGGAAAGGTTTATGTGTGTCTACTGATAACTAATCTAACAAGGAAAGGTTTATGTGTGTCTACTGATAACTAATCTTACAAGGAAAGATTTATGTGTGTCTACTGATAACTAATCTAACAAGGAAAGGTTTATGTGTGTCTACTGATAACTAATATAACAAGGAAAGGTTTATGTGTGTCTACTGATAACTAATCTTACAAGGAAAGATTTATGTGTGTCTACTGATAACTAATCTAACAAGGAAAGGTTTATGTGTGTCTACTGATAACTAATCTAACAAGGAAAGGTTTATGTGTGTCTACTGATAACTAATCTTACAAGGAAAGGTTTATGTGTGTCTACTGATAACTTATCTTCACCCTTGAGAAGGAAAATTAAAGAATCTCTTGCTTTTTGCTTAATACTGTTATAAAATTCCAACTTGGCAGGCCATAAACACTGCCAACAGAAAACAAAAATCCGGTCACACAATTTTTGTTCAGTCTTGCAACAAAAGTCCTTCTATCTGGGCCCAAATCTAGGGGTTTCTTAATTCATTATTGATTATGTATGAATCCTTACCATTCATTATTGATGATAATTCAGAACACAGACAAGAAAGCATCTGGTGAAGAATGGTTTACAGTGCTGCCTAAAAAAAAAAACAGCTGCACAGAGGGATAGTTACCTTGGACCAAGGGTGCCGGGAATGAATAGGAATAGATGGTGAGAGTCAGCAGTGCATGAGCTGATCAATGGAAAATCATGCCTAGTGACGTCATAATAAATATACAGATGGGTCTGTGGCGAAAGGTAAGAAGAGAGGGCATGATTTTATTGCAAAAGTGAATGGACATTGCTTGAAAACAGAGAGCCTCGCATACAACATCCAGTATGAGAATAGAGGTGGAGGCAGTAATTGCAGCTTTCTGATGGCTTCAGAACAGCAGATGTGGTGAAGGCTCTATGGGATCAAATTGACTGAGCAAAAGAACAGATAGGGAATCCATACACTGAAAGACTAACTCAACAGGAGAAGAGTAGAGGCTCTGGAAGATATTCAGTAATGAAGGGGAAACACAGAGGCAGACTTTTAATGAGGTTACAACTGGTACTTTCAGCAAGTCAACTCTTTATTGGTCACTGAAGATACATTTGGGAAAAAATATGTTAATGAATTACATTTTTGGTAAATACATCAGTGGACAGCTTTTGTGAAGATAGCACTTCCTGTGTGAGAACACCATCTTGATTTGCTCCCATCTGCTGAAATCTCAACCACAATCGCTCAACTTCTGCTATACTCACTGGTTAATTGAAGGAAATGAAACAAAAAATTAATAGGATTATTTTGTAGAAAGATTTTAATTTTGTCACAAATTATACTATAAGACAGTCATTATTATATGTAAACTTTCTGCTAAAAGATTTGCAGATGATGTCATTGAAGCATTTGACAGGAGTGATGTCATTAATATCATGCTCCCCGTGTGGGCTCCAGGGCCCTATTTTAGGAAAAACAAGAACAGACCCACTGCCTACCCGAAAGCATGTCATAAGGGTTGACTAATTGGGAGCTTCCTTCAAAATCAGAGTGCATCTGCCTGAGAGGCAAGAAACCAGCAGTCTGCATACAAATGAGTTAGATCTGTAAAATGGATGCACACACAAGACTCAGGTTCTGGAACAGGACTGCAGTCCAAAAGTGGATGAACAACCAGAACTTTCCACCAAAGTTTACAGCTGGTGAATGTGAAGAAGAAGAAAAAGAAGATTAATGCCATGCAAGATGTATATCATGATTACAGCAAGCAGGACTTAGTATCCCCATCCTGGTTGGCTGATACTCGGGTGCAGCCTGGAGCAGACAAACCTGACCATGTCATAAAAGGCACTAAATGCATGATTAATCAACACAGAACAGGCAATGATCAGTCAATTTGTGAAGCTACTGAGGAGGACATCGGAGCATCTACAGATCTGTCCAGAGTGCTGTGAAGATCATCCTCACTAATCACTAACTGAGGAGACAAAGTGACCTAAAATTTATATAATTAGGTTGGGGAAGTCATCAAAAAGTGAGTTATGTTTTATGAAGACTACCAGAGGGTCTGGCTGGCTCACTACACTCATAGGAAAGGAAAGATGGATACATAACCATATTGTGAGCAGTACCATCAGTATTGGAACTCTGGCTGCTGAAGATGAGGACGGAGTACACATGAGAATGACCTGAGTGCTGTGATGTCAATTCTTGACTCAACTCAACTATGAAGATTGTGACTCAGTACATCTAATTTTGATTAACATTTTTGAGGTTTGCTTTCCCTAGTTTTTTTTTAGTGTTGAACCAAGAACTGACATCACAGCACTCGGAACATTCCCATAAGTGCTCCATTCTCATCTTCAGCAGCCAGTAAAGAGATGTAATTTTGATGATGCCAGTAGCAGTTTGATCATATGTCCGTCTTGCCTTTCCTCTGAGTGTAGAGTGTCGAACAGATCCCCTGATAATTCCCAGCTGTACCATTCTCTCCAGACCATAATGATCTATTAGTGTCTCTGCATTGCTCACTTGCTCAAAAAAGGCTTTGAACCTTGACCACATTCAGCTAGTCATACATAAATTCACAACCCAATGGTGCAGAACCAGCCGGTCTGTCTGCCTGCTTATTTCCCAACATTCCTGCATAACTCTTAGAAAATATCAGAGAACGCTACCTGCAACGCAGCAGGGTTGTCTCTATCATTGTCTAGCTCCTATCTCTTGATCTGTCTGACATGGAAGACACTTCCATAAGCTAAGCTACCATAACTATGAGTGTAATCGGAGCTTGCAAGCTTGTCAGTTACACCAAGGTGAAGAACATCAACATAGATTAGGATAATGATACATTTGTTGTAATGTTTACTTTCAAAAGTAAAAATGTAAAAAACTCTTGTCAGTCCTAAATGAACACACCATTTGTGATTAGATTTACTCATATATACCAGTAAACATATTATTTTGCTTTTACACTTTATGTTGAATTGGGGCGTGCTAAAACACTTAACAACACATTTGTCTCCCACAGGGGATGTGTGTTTGGGCCATGTGGATGTAGTATATCCATTATTGTGTTGATTTTACAAATGACTCATTGTGACATCAACTATGAACTTCTGGAATGGTAACAATGGAAATCTGCCTAAATGGATCAACTCAACAAGACAAATAATGGAGAACTTGTGAAAACCTGATGTCAACAACCCGGCTGATGACTCATGCTGAAGTAGAAGTATACACACACAAAATTGTATGAAGAAGAATAGAAATTCAAACCTATTACCATTTGACTAGCAGGCAAGTGTACTAGCCATAAAACTACTAAGGCTTGAAAAAAAAAACTTTTATTTTGATGGTATGCAACAGTACATAGTACTGGCACCCTTTTTTTTTGGACAAAATTTTTTTTTCCAGTGCTAGTGTAATAGAAATAGCTAAGGCATATTGAGAGAGTGTTAGATGACAGAGAGGTAAAGACTGTGTACACAAGGGAGTTGAATGGTCATGGAACACGAAGTAGGCCAAGAAGAGAGTGGAGAGATAATATACAGGTAGACCTGAAAAACTCTTGGATTCACCAATAGAAAGAAAGGACTAATAATAGAATTGAGTAGAGTTGAATTGTGTCAAGAATTAACATCATAGCACTCAGGGCATTCCCATGTGTGCTCAGTCTTCATCTTCAGCAGCCAGCGCAGAGTTCCAATACTGATGGTACCGGTCACAATCTGGTTACATGTCCATCTTGCCTTTCCTCTGTGTGTACTGAGCCGGACAGACCCTTTGGTTACACCCAGGTGCCTCATCTCTCCAGACCATAATAATCTTGTTTCTCTACTGATTCCATTGCTTGTTCCCAAAGGGCCTTGACCAGATCTGCCTTGTCATGTATCAATTCACCACCCCACAGCACTCGCTGACCACTCTCTGCACTCAAAGAGATTAAAGAGATTAACAGAGATGGATGATATATGTTACAATGAACCTCAAAGGCTAAAAATGCTCAAGAAGAGAAACAAGCTAGTGTAACAGACATTCTGTGGACAGTACCTCCACCTTTTTTAGATATGTTTTATTGAGTATAGACACTTTTTTTTTTCTAGAAAAAATGCTTGCCCTGCAAATCACTAATTATATAAATGAATATTATGTCAAATACATGTCTATCTTTAAGCTTTTACATAGATAAATAGACGATGAAGACTTACATTCTGTTGAGATAGCATGTGCAGTTATCCAGTTTGGCTTACTTGGATGTGAGAATCCTGAAACTGCTATTTCAGAATTAGGCTCTATAACAAACCTACTATTGTAGACACCCATGCTAGTGAAGTCCCCTTCTCTTGATATTTACGTCTGGAAGAAACTGAAACATATTATTGTATGAATATGCATATATGTAGATTAGAGATCAAGATCTAGTTAATTTATTGATCAAATTGCAGCTAATGATGTTATGAGAACTGATATGACAACACTCAGGACATTCAGATAAACTCAGCATCCCCTCTTCAATTGCCAACATATAGTATGCATCGTGTTGCCCTTTCAAGCTTTGACTCCACATTAATTTCCATGCTTCTTTCATTCTTTTTAACTGCCTTTTTAACAAAGACTGAAATGGTGCGCCACCTAGTGAGAATAATCTAACAATGCTCGCAGCGAGAGTAAACATGAAAACTGAAACTCAAAGAGATAGATAGAAGTAGACCTAAAACAAGATGGATTGAAGGAGTCACTGACTGCTTAAAACATCGCAACATCACAGCATCCTAAACAGTTGAGAATGCCCTGGCTCGGCTACCTTTCATCTGTTGACCTGTGGCACCTAGTAGCACAAAGCAGATATTGACAAAAGAGGAACTGCATTAAACATATAACTTTTTTTTTACATGGGAACCAACTGACACAGTGTCGACACGTTTATTATGGCATCAATTTTTTCTGCACTACTATAATAATATACACTTTTTGGTGAGTACCAGCATCTTTTTAGACACTTTGTGGTGAGTCAGTCAGTTAGTCAGTCAGTCAGTAGCATGTCCTTTGCGGAACCTTGCTCCCAAAACAACCTTCCAGAAAACTTCTCGATCACAAGCAAGATGTCCCATGTCCGATACACCCATCTGGAGATCATCCACCACATCCTGCACCCAACTTCTCTTTGGCCTTCCTCTCTTCCCAGGCATTTACCCTTCGATTATTGTTGTCTCTAAATTTTCGTAACGTTTCAAGTGACCACAATTTTTCAATGTTCTGTGTTTTATCATCTTTAATAGCCAACCTTCTTCAATATTATGTTCTTGAAGTAGAGATGCATTTATTCATTTCATTACCCATGATATTCTTAGAAACTGTCTATAATATTTGTTTTCAAAGTATTTATGCCCTGTTCAGCTTGTTTAGTAAGTGTCCAGGTCTCATAGTCGATGGGAAAGATGCATGCTCTTAGAAATCTAATTTTTATAGTTGTGTCTGTCCCAATCCATAATTTATTCAGTTGTTTTAGTCTTTGCAGAAAAACTGATAGTCATTTTATTTCTCTCATTGTGTCACCATTTTTGGTAATAAATGACCCAAAATAAAAAAATTTCCACAGCCTCTGATCTTTTCTCATTGAGATATGTTTTTTTCCACAAAGTAGTTTTATCTGTATGCATTTTCTTTGTTTTTGCTATGTTCAAATATAGTTAGTTAGTTAGTTAGTCTTTCCTCTTGTGTTGAGTGCGGCACATAGGGCAGAGGTCATGACTTTCCATGCATGGCGGTTCGTTGCAATCTGTTGTAGGTCTTGGATGTTTGAGTGGCCCATGAGTGAGCTTTCCCTGATGATAGTTCTACGTAGAGTTTCCCTTGGTCTTCCACGAGATCTTTTCCCCTGTGGTGTCCAAATGAGGGCTTGGTAAGGAAGTCTTGATTTATCCATTCTAAGGGCTTGGCCGACATAGTTCCAGCGGCGTTTTCGTATAAAATTAGACACATACTCTTGCCTGGATTCTTGCCTTATTTGTGTATTCGGAAATCTGACCATTTGAAATTTAGTATTCTTCTAAGGCATTTATTTTCAAAACTGTCTAATTTTGTGTCTAGAGTTTTCGTTGATTTCCAGCTCTCGCATCCATAGGTTAGTACTGGAATCACACAAGAATTAAAGATCTTGAGTTTTGTGTGTTTGCTGTCTTTGTTCAAATATAAGTTGTAATTTTTCACTATTTCTTTGGGTTGAGGTTATTAAAATGTCTAAATTAGTCTGTGATGTGAATAGCAATACTGAATCATTAGAATATCAGATCTCTGGTATTTCAGGACCACCGACATTTAGGGCATCATATTGCTCTCTGATTATATCATCTCTGACATTTCTTATTATATTTTTCGTGCACAGGTTAAACAAATAGGGTGACAGCACACAGCCCTGACAGACTTTTTGCTTAATGTCAAACCAGTCTGATTTCTTGCCATCTGTTCTAACTGCTGCTGTTGGTCTAGACAGAGCATTGTTAAGAAGTGTACTACCTGTGATGGAAAGCCCATATTCCTCATAATTTCCCAAAGTTTCTGACGTACAGTCAAATGCTTTTGAATAATCCAAAAAACATACGAGTAGGTTTTTATTAAATTCTCCGTACTTCTTTATTTTTAAACACATTTTGAGAATGTGATCTCTTGTTCCACTTCCTTGTCTAAATCCAGCTTGAACCTACGTTAATTTCTTCCATTTTATTATAAAGTCTTCCTATTATGAATTTTTGTAGAATTTTATTTGCATGACTGATCAGGGCAACAGTTGTATAGTTGGTGCATAACTTCAGGGTGCCCTTTTTGGTATTGGAATGAAGATAGTTCTCTTCCAATCAATTGGCTATACACCATATTTCCAAATCTTTTCACATAATGATAGATTTCTGCACTCTTCCAAATACCGGTTCCAAATTATTCACTGCGAAAAACATCCCGGTGAGAGCATCAGGAGGTTATGTAGTAAAAAGAATTAGGCTATAATCATCAGTTTTCACTTCTGCCGTTATTGCTCGATAGATAGCAATGTTTAGACGTTAAGCTAAGCGCCGTAGGGAGGAATAGTTTTCGATCTATTGAAGCATCGGGAGGGAGGAATAGATTTTGATACATTGTTTACATTACTAGTGACTCGCCTTGCGGGTTTCAGGTCCATATGTTTGAGGGAAAAAAAGAATAGATCCACCACTACCACCAAAAAAGCGTGTTGTAAAAGGCAACGGCTATCTTCCGAATAATGGCCTCATATTATGTATGATGGCCAAAAACACACCCTGACGGGCCTCAGTCACATGGACTTCCGGCGACTACCGCCACAGCCGAGAGTATCTCCCGCTACGCACGACATGGAGCTAAACTAGATGGCTGGGACTCACGAGCAGCAGCTTCCGCATCTCCTGCAGCTTTTCCCTGAGGTGTATAGGAGATACATAGATGATGGCGTTGGTATCACCAAAATGTCCATGGTTGAGCTTGACCAATTTATTACTTACATCAACAATTTCAATCCGGCTATCAAATTCACCTCACTGATCTCCATCATTTCAGTAAACTTTCTTGACATCACGGTTAGCATCGATTTCCCGTGTCTGAAGACCCCAGCCTACTACAAACCCACAGATTCTCACAGTTATCTCCTCTATACATCTTCTCACCCACTACCGTGTAAAAATTCTTTTCCATATTCACAGCTCCTTCAATTGCGCAGGTTGTGCTCTGATGATTCTTTTTTGATAAATCAGTTGAACTTCTTGATTTCTTCTGTGCCCATTTCTATCTAGAACACATTCTACAAGGGGCACTAAACAAAGTTTTGGCAATCACCAGGAGAGATGCTTTCCCTACCAAACGTAATTCCACCAGTGATGGACCCAAATTGATTTTGACTTTTCACCCTAATAATGTGGTTGCTTCCAAAGTATTCTTTAGTCATTTGGACATTCTCCGCTCTGATCCGGACACCAAGATTATCTTTAGTGAGAAACCTAGATTAGTTTATAGACGAGAGCGCAACCTTAAAGACATACTTGTCCGAAGCCGACTCCCACCGATCCACACAGCACTTCCTTTTGGGACTACTGAATGCTCACGCAGCACGTGCAAGACATGTCTTTTTGTTTTCCAGACTTCTTCGGTCAGTTTCCCTAATGGTTCTTTCCAAATTAGGGAACCTTTTACTTGCGAATCCCACAATGTAATTAATGCAATTGTCTGCAAACGATGCAGCAAGGCATACATTGGGGAAACTGGCAGGAAGCTAGCTGATCGTTTCCGGGAACACCTCTCCGATATTGACAAGAAGACACTTAAACCAATCCCTCTCCATTTTAATAGTTCTGACCACAGAGGTAAAGATGATATATCTGTCACAGCATTAAAATCTTGCCCTGGCGATCATACTATGCACCTCGCTTTGGAAAATCGCCTCATCCACAGCATAGGCGTTCTTAGTCCAGGTGATATCAGTATCCAACATACCTTCATCTAAATGGTTCTACTCTTATCACATTTTAAATGTTAATTATTTTATTTTATTTTATTTCATATTATTACTTTATTCTATTTCTTATCAGTATCATTTATGTATCATTAACATTTGTATTTCTTTTATTCCCAGTATTATATTAGATATTAACAATAATACTGTTTATTATTATTATTTTTTTTGTGACTATATTTTTTAACCATCGTTTAGTTTATTTTATTTCATTTATTCCATATCACATATTTTAAACGTTGCTCACGTCACCCGTTAGATATCTACATACTCTCCTCTCCTCGTTGTTACGTTTGTGTAATTCACTTATGTTTGAAAAAGGCTGCCGGCCCAAAACGTTACGTTGTGTTATTTTGTTCACGTTTTTCTGCTTCCCCATTTTGTTGAGCTTTTTAGTCAAATTTCTCTGGAATTACTTTTTCATGACCGCTTTGTCGTTTTTATTACAGTTCCAGTCTTACATGTGCCAGTATGACCATTATGTGTGTCAGTCGCTTTTAAAAAAAATTTTGTTAAACAATCCTTTATGTAAAATGTTACTAAAATATCAAATGGTCACTCATACTCAATTTTTACATCCGACGGAAAACTGGACAGAGAAATTAGCTCCAGATGTGCCAAAGCTAATCAAGTAATGGGTCAACTATCTCCCCTTTTGACACACAAGCAGATACCTCAGAGTACTAAAGTGAATCTTATCAGAACTATTTTTTTGGTCAACACTATGCTACCAATGCCAAACGTGGACACTTACATCCTCCAATGAACGTAAAACTGTGACAACAGAGATGAAATTCCTTAGAAGAGC